ATTTCCCCCAGGGATCAATAAAGTATTCTGATTCTGATATTTAATGAGGAATCTGTTGAATCTGTTCTGTGTGAAAAATCAAGACTAACATACTCCAACGTGTTTATTCATCTGTGGGTGAAAAACTGAGCGAGGCTGATAAAAACTCATCTTCACATCATCGAACTTTGTCCATCAGAAAATGTGAAATCCTGACCGGCTGGTCCAGAGCTTCGTAAACATCTGGACGTCGTGGGTCAGGGTGGCTGCTGAAGGAGAACTAATGACCACAGCTTTAGCAGGTCAGTGCCGGAGGATCTGACTGCACGAGAGGCGCTCGGGACGTCAGGTGTCGTATCTTTGTTTGCTAATGGATTCTAACTTTTCCCAACAACCCTCAACGTGTGTTTGCGGACGATTCAGCGCTGCTTTCAATGATCTCTGAGTCTCACTGTGCTTCAACCGGTTGCTTCGGTGCTTTAAACTGTAATATTATGATTATTATTACGGGACGATCAGAGGCAGCAACCTCAGAGGCTTAACAATGAGCCTGCAGTTCCTCTGATGTCCAGCAGAGGCAGCAGTGAGTCAGTCCCCATAGACTCCCATGTTAAAACTTTACAGCAGAACTAAACATGTTTACAGCCTGATACACAAACTGTTTGCATCATCAGGGGCGTGGCCTCTGTGACTGACAGGTGGCTGTAGCTGCTAGCTTCACCTGAACTGGACCTCTGGACCGTGTTTGTGCTGTTGGAGCCACAATGGCATCATGTGACCAATACTATGTGAGGTTACTGTAGCAACAGACAAACAAAGCTGAGCTCCAGGTTTGTGAGTGAAGTTCAAGGATTGGATGTTGGATCCAAAAATCCAACATGGTGTCAGCAAATATGTAGATTCAAAGCTTCAAAGGAGGAAGTAGGCAGGAATTTTATGTTCTTTCTTTAAATTACTTTATTTGCTTTGTCTGTAATAATCAGATTTTCTTCTTCTTATATTTGGAAGTTTGCATCAAACTGAAATCACAAGTTAAATTATTTCAGTGTTTTCAGATCTTTTCTTTTCAGATTGTTCATTTGGAGTTCCAGATCAGTTTCTTAATTCAGGATTTGTGTGAAATAAACACACCATCACACTTTTATGCAGGTGTAAGAATATACTGTTCTATATTTCTGCAGCTGTTTTCAGGTAAATTCATTCACTAACAGATTACTTGGTCTTGTTTTTAGACCGACGGATGCCTGGAGTAAGATTTTAGGGGTATTTAATGTTGGAACAGCATCAGTTTGAATATTCAGACTTTTTAAAGGCCTGAATACTTGTTTGTCTCGTCTTTCACTGAAACTGCATTCCTCTGGAAAACTCTGGAGGCTTCTCCTGATCAGCAGGTGGTTTACAAGGAGTAAATGTGGGAGGAGGAGGAGTCTTCACTCTCCCTTTCCCCTTTTACTCCCCCCGGCCCTCCGTGCTGCTGTCCTGCGTCTGTTTGCATTCCTCTCAGTTAATAAGTGTTTGTCTGATCCCCGGCGGGGGTGTAAAGATCACCCCACACAAACACAGCAGCCCGCCCCCCTCCTCAGCTCACCCAGCTGTAAAGGCGACTTTAACATCACGATAACGGGCAGGCGGCAGCGGACGTGCAGATACATGCTGAACAGATTTGAAGGGGAGGCCGTAACTCCCTCCTGATTGGCTGCAGGCTGGCGGAGGCCTGCAGTGAAACTGTATAGGAGCTGAACTGTCAGTTTAGCTTTCCTCGAGTCAATCATTCCAGGACCGCAGACGTTATTAGATCACATATTAAACCAAACCTGGAACTAAATGTCGCTTGTGGCTTAATTTTGGGAAGATCCGGGAAAGGAGGAAGAAAAAGTCCACAGCTAAGTTAAAGGAAAACTGGATGTTTTTGCTTCCCAACTGTGAGGTCAGCATAACTTTTTCTGACCTCAGATCAATTTAGGCTGTTAATCAAGTCACAGTGACGGGCAGGGTCTTTGTCATCATCTCAAACTGGTTTCTGAAACATGACGATGAGTTCACAGTACTCAGATCTCAGTCTAACAGAGCACCTTTAAGATGGAACGGGAGAGTCTCATCGTGGATGCAGACGACACATCTGCAGCAGCTGTGTGATGATGTCACCATGGACCAAAATCTCTGAGGAAATGTTTTCAGCAGGAGGTCGGATTCTAGCAAGGTGTCCAGTGGGTGTCTGTGTCTCGTAGAGCTTTGAACAGTGACGTTGGACAGTGTCGGTCCTTCTTCTTCATAACTTCAAAAACATATTCTAAAAATGTCTCGAAAGGCCAGCTTCATCCAATGATCTGCATCAGTCAGCGTTTCACCACAGAGTGCTGAAGACTGACTCTGCACGAATTTAACCTCATCATATTCTCAATTCGATTCAGTTCAGTTTTATTTTATAGTGCCAAATCCCCCTGTTAGCAAGCACAGGCGACAGTAGGACAGAAAAACTCTGTTTTAACAGGAAGAAACCTCCAACAGAGCCATGCACGGGGAGGGGCGGGGCCATCTTTATCCTGTTGGCGATCAATTACTCTAAATAAAAGTGAAGCACTGGCCAACACTGGCCCGTTTCCTCGTTCAGTTCATTAAAGGCCGACGAGCCACATCCAGCACAAAACGGTGCTATGTGGCAGCTACCAGTGCTTCATTGCTTCATTAACTGAGTACGTGAAGAAACACGAATGAATTCATTGTAAAAACGAGATCAGGTGTAAACGTGTCGGGGATGCTGCATCAGACACCAAGCCTGGTGTGTGAAAGGATCTTTGAAAGGCTGCAGGCCTGCAAACGGAGCCAGACCTTTCTTCGGTTTCACAGGACGGTGATGAAGCTCACTGCTGTGTGAAATCCAAGATCGGCCAGCTCCCTTTAAAAAGGTCCGACTGATAGCATCGGGATAAAGAGCTGGATGCTAAAGAGCGCTGCCAGAAACATCCGACTGTGAGCTGTTTGGGAAACGCCGTGGAGGGCCGGCTTCTCGCTCTGTCCCACGTCCACTCTCATCAACTCAGCCTGTGATGCATCCAGAGAAGCCTCTTTGCTGGGGGGGAATGGACGGACTTCAGACCGGTGCAGTAAACCCCGACTGTGTGAGCAGCGAGGGGGTCCGAGGCTGACCGGGGTGTTGTCACCTCGGCAGCTCACCTATTGAGGGCAGAGTCTAAGATATGCAAAGCAGCAGCGTTTGAAAGCTTTCCCTCTGCTGTGAGGCGAACAAAGAAATAAAGAAATCAAATTAAAGATTGGAAAGCAGCGAGTGAGGAGCGGGAACGAGAGAAGAGCATCTGTGGTGCTTGTGCAGCGTGCCAAGCTCGATGACTGCTGAGAAATGGAAAAAGAAAGGCGTCATTAAAAGACGGAGCGAGGTGGAGGGAGGGTGCTACGCCCTTGTTTGCCCGGGGTGGTATTTCCTGCTCTCATTGAGGCCGTCCAAGTCCTGCAGCTGGCTTTAGTGAGGCTCCCTCCCAGCATTGAGAGGCAGGCCTGGGCATGCCCGGCCAAGGTCAAACTGTAGCCGCCAAGAACGCCGCTCCCCCCCCGCCCGGCTCTGTTTATGTTTGTTTTTCAGTCCGTCCCCGCCGCCTCCACCTCCCCTCTGGCTCCGGACATTTCCACACAGGTATCAGGTGACCCTTCCTCCTGCACATCTTCCTCCTGCACATCTTCCCTCAGTATCAGTGTCCAGCTCATCTGTGTGCGTTACCAACGCCATAAAACCAAACTGTTTCCATGTCTCCAGACTTCTGCTGTTTGTGCAGGAACCGGTGAACCTGTGAGCAGCTTAACACTTGCAGTTTTTGGACCATCGTCGCATGAGATGACGACCTGCTGCAAGTGAAGGAAACAATGCTCGTGGCTGGTGTGAAATGTCATGTAAGCCGAGAGTATGTTTGGTAACTGACTCGGGTATTTAGAGAGCATTGTCCTGTCACTGCAATGAGTCACCAACCTTTATGTTACCTGGACAGCAGAACGCTGCGGAGCCCTCGAAGACAACAATGACAGGAAGTTAGATAAGAGAAACTCCATCCATCCATCCAGCAGTCCACATCTCCACGGCCTCTGAGGATGCTGCACAACCTGACACCCACCGTGCTTTTATAATAATAACTTTATGTTTTTTTATCACTTTTCAAAACACATGGTTACAAAGTGCGAGACAGTTTGAATGAAACTGCACACTAAAGATAAACGTACAGCAACCACATGTCTGATATTGCGTTGGTCCCCCTGACCCATCGGGGCACGGACGCCACCGCGAGGTATCTGCACCCAGATGTTAGAAACTGATCCTTTGGGTGTTTCCCAGGTGAGCGTGCACCTGGTCGCCGTGATGTCATCGGATCAGGGCACCTTCTTCCACCTAACATTCATTTGTCAAAATGTAACTCTGTTGACAAAATGACACATACCTGCATCACATGCAAACACTTACAGATCAGGGGACACACTAGTCTACTTCATATAAAACACTGCAGTCTTTGATTTCCATTGTTTATGCAGAAGGCACATTTTCAGGAGGCACAAACAACCAAAAAAGCAAATAGGCCTACTCAGTATTGTCCACTGCAGCACCATGAATTCAGATAAAGCAAAAAAACAAACAAACACCATAATACAGTAATAGAAAAAACACTATACTGTACACACAAAACATCATGACAATTGTGCATACGTGGGCTCATGGATCCCGCCGTCTGTTGGGGTCTGGCCACAGGACCTCATCGACATCGCAAGCAGTGTCTTCTCCCGCTGGGCACCGGGGAAATATCCTCTTGCATGTCGAAACCATGCATGGATCGCTGTCACCTGAATGTCGCCGCAGGCCTGTTCCATTGCCTGCAGAAGAGGCATGCGGGCATGTGGTTGGCGGTCATATACTCGCCATCTCCAAGCCTAAAAAAATCCTCTATAGGGTTTAAAACTGGTGAGTAAGGGGGCAAGTATACCACTTCAAGTTGGCTGTGGTTGGAGAACCAGGCCTGGACCAGAGCAGCCGTTGGAAACTGACAT